GATTTAAATACACACATACCTGTTTAGAGAGAAAGAAGTGTGAAGAATCTGGTGTTAAGTCGCCTTCTTTTGACTAATATCAGTTTAACTTTAAATAGTTATTGGCAATGTCTTCAATGCCAAAACAGCTCTTACAAATGTTAAAATATATCCAAAATTTCTTTTCTACAGAAATCCATGGGATTACGAAGGGCTCCAAATAGAACTGATGTAATTAAGAAAGGAAGAAATCAGCCACCACAACAAACTCTCGTAAGTTCAGCCGTCGTACATCCCTTTAATTTACTCCCTTATACGAGTATACTGGCTTTATTCAAAGAAAGAAATGGAAATGTCCAAACCATTAAAACCCTCCTTGAGGAGTTGATCAGTTTAAATTTAAGAGGTAATAAGAACCCAAATCTTGTGATCATTATCATTATCATTAGCCCTTTAGTTGACTTCGGGTTTCACAGAGAGGAAAAAATATCAAAGTGAAAAAGGTCAAGTGTATGGGCGGGGAGGCAGAAGAGTATTTCAAAGTCGGAGGTAGGAAAGGTAGAAAAGAGATGAGGTGAGTACTATAAAAGTAGTCAAGCATGAGATACAGTAGGGTAGTGGTCGTTTGAAGTCAGAACTCAACTACTGATTTATAGACTGGATGTAACTGTGTTGGTCAGGTTTAAGCAGGTTCATCATAAGCGCTGCTTTGACTTTTATCAAATACCTCAAAGACTCCGACACCTCAGGCCTTATGCTCTCGTTGAGTGCATTTTCAATCCATTCTTTCTTCAGTCGACGACAAGCATCTATAGCAAACCGTCCCGACTCATGATATGGAGCAATAGCTTGAATCTGGCGAACATATTTGGGGTAAAACTTCAGGAAAGCCTTCTTGGCGTGGAAGGTAGACGAAGCAGACAGTATTGTCATTTGACCATATTTTAGTTTCGCCACGAATTTATCATAAGCACATAAGGTTCTGTTCAGGTAACCAATGTGGCCAATGCAACTGTAAGAAAAAATGTACCGATTAGTGAGAAGTTTGGAAGCCAAATTTAAAATTTGCATGAGGTGGTGGTGGTGGTGACAATCGACAGTTGGGCATGCAATTTACATGATAGCGTGTGCTGTTATTTCGCAGACCACGCGTAATCTGACCAATGCAAGAGTTGCTAGGCTTTCCTCGCTTTATACTCTAATCAATGCAACTCATGAAATCTAGTCTGCCACTGGTTATGGTCTGTGTGATCTCTCACACTGCATAAAGAAATGTTGAATAAAAGCGTTGGTCCTTTCTAGTATAATGGAGAAATAATGTTGCCCTACACTCCGTCAATCCCCAAACAAAAGTGGCTTTAGTGATATATTATGGATTATCCATTACAACTTAATTTTCTGCATTCTTCATGCAATTCCTCATTCTTTAATCTGTGCACGGTTCTGTTATATTCATTTGTGCTTTACTCTGCCACCTTATCACATCACAAGTCTAGTGCTTACTGCTCCTCTTTTTGTTTGCTCCGAATATGCTTCCTCCTCCTTCTCGTCCTTCTCCTCGCTGTACTTATTTTGAGTACTTAATTCGAAGGTGAAGACAGTGCAATGCCTCACTACTACTTGGTCCCCAATCTACACTTTCTTGGCATATATACTCAATGGAGTTACTGGCACCATCTGAGTACGTGTTGGAGATAATAATGCTGCCCATACAAGGTATGACCGGCATTTGTGACTGCGTCAAAAGAGAAATTGAGTCCTCGATTCAAATGTGCTTGCGAAATGAGGCATCAACTCAGAGCAACTATTTACCTGTCATAGCAAAATTTATACATTCCATCTCTGCGTCTATTGCTTGGAGCGAAGTTGTTCCTTTTCTCATACCCTCTTAGATTAATGGAAATGCCCTTAACAGTCGGGTTGACTCCAGCCAAAATATTGAGAAGTGCTCCATTATCGAGAAGAAAGGAGATAACTTGGACCCTTGCGTCGTGTCCCAAGTTGCAACGATGCGGCACCATCGTAATCCACTCAATTGTCCTGCAGAGGTCGTCCACACACCGCTTTAGAGTCGGCAACAAATTGACAAAATTGTCTCCACTAAAATGTAAATTTCAGTTCGAGAGGTATTTAAATGGATAAAGAAGGGTGACTCAAAGGGACTCGGAGTAATTTACTATTTTCTCTTTGGCAAGTAAACAAGGTACTTAGAGTGTGAAGATCTGCAATCCCAAAACCCTTTTATGAAGAAGTAGCTACTATTGTTGCTTCGGGTGTTGATCTCATCTCATGGCACGTACACGTGCAATACACGAGTGCTATCAACCGCAATTCTGACGTAGATAAATTCGTTCGTTCGGTTTCATGCCTCTTGGGAAGATGGCACTTCATTGATTCCCATTTCCCTCCTCCTAATCAGTAGGATTTAGTACATCCTTCACAGGATGAAGACCGAATTGTGATTTCCTCTGAAGCAACCCACCATGAGACGTGAAGTCAAAATTGTACTCTCTACACCACTATTTCCTATGCAACTCTCGAATCATGGCAAATGCTGTCAATAACTTTGAAGACCGAGTGTTACTCACCTCTCTTCATGCATACGGACCGTTGATTCGACGTTGCCTTGGTCCGTTGATGGACTCTGCAAACTTTTTTCTCGAATTGTTTGCTCACTCGACATACTATCGTCTGCTAGCGTTGTGCTGTTAAAATGAAATCGATTCCTTGTGTGCAATACTTCTATACACGCAAGTACAAGAATGCGAAATAAGTTCATTGCTTATCAAATTTTATTGGATTTTACTGGTATGGCCAAAAATTATGGCCTAATTACCAATGAACACATCATGAAACGAGGCTATTTTAAGGTCAACCACAGCTACAATAATTGTCATTAGGTTGATTAAAATATCGAATCTAGGGTAAATGTGTTCTGAGGTGATGAAAGAATAACATTATTGTAGGACTTTAGTGGGTCACAAATATTAGGTTGAAGTAGAACCAGTAGCACGACTGCAGTTTGCGAGTGATATCTTATTCATATGTATAATTGGCAGTACACTTAAGTGAATTATTCAGTTTTCGCTCGATTTTCTCATCTCACTGCTTTTATTCTCTAGAGATTTTTCAACAGGATTTCAACTTCCAGTCAATTTGACGTTCGTTTACTCTTAAGTTAGCCGTACCTCCAAATACAGATCCCCTAATATACCCACGAGAGAAATCAGCTGTAGAAGACAAGTCCTCGTCTTCAGTGGCTTCCAGGAATAATTTCATTCCACCTAATACACTTTTTCCAGCAGGCTTTTGGTTCAGACGTTCTGACCCACGTGCAGACAGCCATTTGTTTGGATGTTGGCATTTTAGGCTGAAAGCAACTGGACTCTAAAATTCATTTGATGATTGTCTGCATGTCTATTTCATTTCCCACTGCTCGGACTCAATCATCCCCTCTATGCCAACTATGCATTTATAGCAACCAACATACTTGGGACTGATATAATTTCTCATATTCTAATACTCCGAGCTGTTTTATTGTTCTCTTAAAGCACAATTAAGATGGTTGAACAATTTTAATTTGAGCAATATTACCATCCGAAACTTCAAAACTCCAGATTTTGCGCTTTGATGGGACGTTGAGCTCCCATTTACGAAGTACGCTTAAATTCCAACTCTACCATTGGTTTCCTCAACCCCCACCCCATCCTTACTTCCATCTACAAATACTACTTAGACATTTTCAATAGCAAGATTGTGGGCATGTGCAATGAAGAGGGCGCTGAAAATTTTTAATCAACATCCCACGACTCCTCCATTTAGCCAATCATAGATTGCGTAGGCGAGCAGTGCGGTTCGCACAGGAATTCGAAAGTGCGTTGACCACCACTTTGATAGTTGATATTTGAGATGAACTTGTCGAAGGAAGTCCATTTAGCTTGTAAGATGGCTTGTCTTAGGACAGCCGACTGCCGTCTCCAGCCTTGTACGTCTTCCGTTCGTCCTGTCTAATCAGCGGTGTTGCGAAGGGCGTCCCGCTTCCTTTTTAGTTTCTCAAGGTGTTTAGACCAAAATATTCGATAGTGTTCCGTTTCACCTAGGAGAATAGTTTTCTTTGCACATTTAATCATAATATTCGTGATATTATTGCAAAGTTTGCCTGGATGTTGGTTGGAGTTGAGGGGACTTGGCCTGGATGTTGGTTGGAGTTGAGAGTACTTGTGTGATTGATTAATACATTGATTAATACAAATAAATGAAAACATTTAAAACTATTGATTTAAATGTTTTCTTCAATAACGAAGTGCTACTAATTGGCTGGGATGTAAATTTCAAAATTTAATTTCAGTAAAAGGTTGCACTTTTATAGTATTTATTTTACAATTAAAAAACTTTGGAATTTCAACTCCAGAAAATGATTTGGTAGTTTAAGTTTTTCAGACAAGAATTGTAAGTCGATACGGGTGACACATAGTAAAAAACACACAAATTATTATTTTGTCATCACATGATATTCTCTTTATTTACCTTTTGATCCCATTATTGCATTATTTAAAGTGGAGCACAATGATTTCGAAATTTACTCTTAGATTTAAGTGAAAATAATCGCCTCAATACTCAATTTATTTGAGGAGTTGGTAAACTTCGTAAAAAGGAGCAAACATGACTCAGTGATCTGGGGATATGATTCTCGCTTTGGGTGTGTGAGGTCAAGGGTTCAAATCCCGGCTGAGCCCACACTGATATCTATTGT